TTCTCGGCCTCCTTGAAGCCGAGATTATTGGCCTCATCCACGTCTTTCTGCCTCGCCTTCTTCAACTATTCGAGCTCGGCCTTCATGGCATCTCTCTCTTGCTCGGCTCTACCAAGCTGACCGAGTAGCCTCGCATTATCTGCATTTGCGATTTTGAGCGAAGCCTTAGCTCGGCCCAACTCAGCCGAGACTTTTCCCAACAGCATTCAGCTCGGTCACTTTTTGCCGCAAGCTGACAATGCAGTCCATAACAAGGTGAGTTTTCTGAATGGACTGCAAAATAAAAACCAGAAAAAGGTTAGCCCGAGCAAGCAACAAACCGAACAAACAGTTGGAAAATTTTGAATTTGAAGCTCTTACCCTCATCATTGATTTCACCGCAGACTTGACAAGCCGGGTGTCTGGAACGTGCTCGGTCCCTATCATGTCCTCCGGTAGAAGCAAGGACTTGGAAAGATTGAAAGCAAAGAGATGTTCCTTGTCCCCTTTTATAGAAGCATTGACTAGGATAGGGCCTCCCCGGGACTTCAACTTTGGTTGCCAGGCTAGAACCGGTTCAACCTTGGTTGGCTCATGCTCGGTGTTAAACTCAGACTTCCAACTCAACTGAGGGATCGGCCGACCGGGCCAGCTTACTAGCCCGGCGTGACTCTGCATGTGGAGCGACTGTGGAGGCCGGGGCAATCACGATCCCTGAACTAGAGCCAGCGGTTGGTGCAGGAGGAGGGCTGCTCAATAGTTCGATAGAAATGACGGTAATGAGGTTCTTAATCCGACTCCTCTTTGCTATTTCTTGCTCCTCAGTCAAGCGGATGAGGGGAACGTCCGAAAGTGTTGGGTCTAGAGATGGAGAAGGCGCCCGTAAGAAATCTGTGACTTTGCTCTTGCACGAAGCTGAATAACGGTAGCTCGGTACGTAACCAAGAAGCTCATGGCAATCTCAGTGCCTATATCTTAGCGCGGCCCTAATCGCCTCTTTGTTCGGGTACTGATAATTAGCTTGTAACTCTTCGATAGCTGCAAAAGAAAGGCAATTAGCTTTGGCACAATTAATAATGACAAAAATGAGTAATCAGAAAGATCGGCTTACAAGAAGAACCGAAGTCCTTGCTGATGTACCAATCGGGCACGTCAGCTGTCTCATAATTACCGAACACGTAGAAGAAATCATCATCATGCATGTCCTTCTCTGGTGTGCCGATAACTAATCGTTCTCTGCCCTGTCTTATTTTCAAATAATAGTTGTAGCCATCTTTTGTTGGACCGAACGTGTGTTAGCGCAATATTTTGGCTAGGCCCAACTGTAATCCTAGCTAGTCATTCAGCTCGGCCACTCCATGTATGATCCTAAAAGTGTTGGTGGATAATTGAGTAGGAGCTAATCCGGTGCATCTCAAAAATTCGCACATTAGGGGCTGCACCGGGAAGCGCAACCCTCCATCAACTATGCTCAGCACGGTTAAGGGGCAGGACTCCAATCTACCCCATGGATTTATATCCTCTTCACCGAGCTCTAAGTGTACGTCGGCTGGAACGCCATATTCCTCTCAGAACGTGGCCAGTGCGCCCGGCGTGTTTACAAAGAAACGATAGTGCCCCATAAAAGACCGGCCTGATCAGCCCGGCGGTGTTGAGTTGGCAAAGACGTGCACGATGGCTGTTCGGTCTTTGAGAGCCCTTGTGTTGGTGTGCCTGGTCTCCTAAGATTCTGCATTTAAAAACAAAGTGTCAAGTGTCAAATGACAACGCGGCCACGCGGGTAGAGCCAGATGGTAGCTCGGTCAAGCATGGTTTACTAGCACGGTCATGTGCAGTAACCCTTTGTGGGTCTTAGGCCTCGTTTGGCAAGTGCCCCTTTTAGCCAAAAAGTCAAAAGTTTACAAAAAATTCAAAAAGTCAACAACCCATATCAAAAAGTCAAAGATTCCCTTTTCTCTCTACTTTTTGCACATCTTTTCGTAAACAGCCAAAAAGTCATCCCAAACATACTAGTTTTTTTTACATCACATTTTAGCCAAAAAGTCAAAAAGTTACTAAAAAAGCCTGTTCCCAAACGAGACCTTACTTGCACGGCAATGCGAGCAGATCTTATCTAGCCCTAAGGACCCTTGTGTTTTAAAAGCTCGGTCGCGCGAGCAAGTCAGGAGTCTGCTCGGTCACGTTACCTGATATAGTTCAGAAGCCCGGTCTTCTCATCTAAGTGCCATAAGCACAAAAGTGATCTGGACCAGCTATAGTTTTGAATCAGATATGGGCTCGCAGCCCGGTCAGGCCCAGATCCACATCTGTTTATCACAGGAGATGACAAAGAGTATGGAAAACTAAGGGCACAGGAGGTTTTAAACATCGAAAGTGGGGCAAAACCTAAGTCTAATCCAATTATTGGTCGTGTTTGGCTATTATTATCACCCCCTGAATACAGGTGTGAAGGTTTAAGCCTAAAAATATACAAAAAACGTGAAAAACCCTCAAAAACGCAAGGGAAAGGACAGAGTCACAGGGAGGATACAAAGGACTTACTAAGTCGGAGCTTCAATTGAAGTTCCAATCAGATAAACACACCCCGAATGGTAGCAGCGACGGAGGACCGATGCGGTAGATGCTCTGATTTGAACACTGGGGATCAAAAACGGCGACACAAGTTCAGGAAAAAATGGCTCGACAGAGAGTGGAGAAGATGAACAGTGAAGGTTGAGATGCGAAGAGGCATACAATATATGTATGGAAATGGAAGGGGCGCCAAAGTTTGAATCTGAGGAGACGGCGTAGGACAGCTGGGTTGGTTGTACAAAGCCAATGAGCGAGTGACACGTGCGTGAAAAGACTAGTGTCAATCCTGGAAAGACGGATATAACAAACCAAGCGCCTACCAGGCAAGTTATGGGACCAAGCACAAAGATTAGCACGGTTAAGGTAATAGGCCGACTTAGGGACATGGACGACCGAGCACTGAACAAAGCAGGCAGTGACCGAGCAAGGAACGAGCTCGGCTAATGAATGTAATCCCGGTCACGCTAGCGCAGACGGAATTAAGGGCAATTGAGAGGGAGATTTATGACCTAACAATGGGCCAAGCCAGTTTGGGCCGAGGTTGAGAACTTCACTTGGCTAGACGTTGGCGCGCACTGGGCCAAGGAGTTAGACCGGTCCAGTTGGTGACAACTTTGAGCTACTAGCCCAGTAGGGATATGCGTTCTGTTGAGTTGGACGGAATTTGTCCTCAGAAGACCAAATTTGGCCAAGCAGAAGCTTGGTCATGGCCTTGGAGCTCGGTTGAGCCCACGATCAGATCTAACTGACAAGGCCGAATATGTAGCGCGGTCCCAAGAGAATTTCATGGAGCCGCATTGGGCATAGCTCGGTAGGAGGTGCTACGTGGTGCGCTGGAGCTGCAGGAAAAAGATTATGCCGTCCGTAAGCGTCAATACTGTTTGGCGGTTTTACCATTCGATGTTTTGCAGTATTTGCACCTACACGTGGAGAAATATAAGAGGGGAACATGCCCACCTGTCAAAAAGAGGACAGACAAAGAGGAGCGCACAAAAACTATATAAACGGCACTGAGCCTTCATGCACGGGTCTAGAACATCTGATTATCAAAGCTACCTACCCTTTTGTCTGCTCTCTCTTTTTCTCCCTCCTTTTTCTTTCTGAGTGTGCTAACTTGACCGTCGAAAGATTTTTCCGGCAGTACACCGCCGGGTAGCTCACCATCTTTGTGTTCTCAGGTCGTTTGGAAGGAAGCGTAGCGTGGACACGAAGAGTATAGAAAGCAACGAATATTTGCTCCCCATACATAATTCAAACTCATAATAGAATTTACAGCTGCAAATTCCAACATAGCTGCAGTCTTCTTTCTTTAAGTTTTAATAGCAGAGTGTCAAAATTGAACTTGCTTCAAAAAATCTGATTGTCAATGTAAAAATGTCAATTCAAAAATAGCAAATACAAAAAATTAAAACCAAAGATCTACATGCCATTGATACTTTATGGTTCTGGGTTCGAATGATTTAAAACCAGAACATCAACATTCACCAAAAGGCCCAGAGATTTCAAAATATTAAAACATTAGGACTTTGAAATTTGATTGTAAGAGTAATAGCTATCAAGCCACAGCAATACAAGGTATTGGAGGCCAAAGGTTTTTCGTTGTTGTTGTGACAAAGTTGAAATCAAATATGCAATTAATAACAACACAACACTTACATCCAAGCAGCAATTATTGAGTAATATTGCAAACATAATCTAAAGAAGCTCAATATTGAATTCAAACTCGTAATAAAATCTAAAGATGGAAACTCCAATCATAGCTGATTCTTTAAATTTGAGTAGGTTTCCAAAATTTACTTTCATTCAAAAATCTAACTACGAATGTACAAAAAAATGCAACTCCAAAAATAGTACATACAAAAGCCCAATAACTAAAAGTCAGTATATCATTGATTCTTTTTAGTTTTGGGTTTAACTGATTTCAGCACTAAACAACACTGACCAAATTCAATCCTAAACTAAACAACACTAATCCACACACACACACACACACACACAAAAAAAAAAAACACATAACCAACACCAAACCAGACCCAGATTTTAATTTCTCTCGTATTTGCTACTTTTAACAGCTCAAAGAACCTGCAAGTGTAATCAACCCGCAAGTGTAATCAACCCACAAGTGAAATGTTCCCAAAAACAATGTTTTATTGCCTTCGTTTCTGAATAACAAATCATATACGCCAAAAGCCAATTCAATTAAACCTCGGAAAACAAAACCCAAAGAAAAAAAACAAAAAATCTCTCACATTAGCTACTTCTAACAGCTCAAGAACCTGTATATCATCCAACCCACAAATGAAATGCCCCTAAAAACATTGCTTTATTTCCTCCGTTTCTGAATAACAAATCATACACTCCAAAACCCAATTCAATTAAACCTCAGAAAACAAAAACTCAGAAAACAAAAACAAAAAAAAAAAAGCAAAGCGTGATAATGAAATCGATACCTGACAGTTGCGGCGTTTACCGGACTGTCGACGCTTTTTGGCGGCAATTATGGCGGCGATGCGATTAGAGACTGAAGCAGAGGAAGATTCCTTCTGCCTGTTCTTCTTTCGGGTTGCTTTGCTTTTCTTCTTCCTTAGTGCATCGTCGCCTTTGGCCATTGCTCTGCCAAGGAAGCGAATGAGAGAGAGAGAGAGACAGATAGAAAAGACTTCAAAGGCGGTTTGCGCAGTTGTGCGTGCATTTTATAGCAGCTTTGTTTGTGGGTAGGTTATAAATTTTTTAGCAAGTGTATGGGTAGTTTCGTCATTTTGATTCATCTTTTTATTATTAATATAATAAAAATAGCAATTTTATCATTTAGGTCTCTTTGAAAAACATAAAAAGTTAGAACTCAATTTTTAGCCTATTTTGAATCACATAAATTTTTTATTTTTTTAAAAAAATCTAGAAAAAAACTTAAAAAATCAATTTTTAATTAATTTTTCAAAACAATTCTTAATTATAATAACTCTTGGAAATGTTATTATAAATTGGGAAAATTGCGAAACAAATGTAGGGAACAAGAAAACATTTGGTTTGATTTTCAAAAAAAGTTTTCTATTTTTATTTTATTTTTTTTGAAAAAATAAAAGTTAATTTGAAAAAATTACTAAAAAAATATTTAAAAATTATTTTTATCCTTCCAAAAGATAAAATGTAAAATGATGAGTTTTTTTTTTTTTTTACTAAATTACCTTTTAAATTTTTGGAAAAATATTTTAAAAATAGATTATGAGGATAAAAACTATTAATAATAAATAAATAATGTTAGCGACTTTTAAAAAGTCACTCTTAAATTTATTTATATTGGATTAAATCTTAATTAGTTAATTTACAAATAAATCAACAATTGATATGTAAACGATCCGTGCCATTGAAGATCAAATTTAAGATGATGTTTTAAGTGTCTTAACCAGGTTTCATAATAGATTTTCAATGAAACATTTCATTTTCTTGATTTATTTTGTGACATATGATTATGAGAATGTTTGATGGTTGAATAAAAGCAATTTATATGGAGAGGTTTTTTTAAGTGATCCCATATGAGAAAATATTATTAATCACATATTCTTGTTTTCTCATTGTTTGATATCAATATCAATAAAAATAAATTACCCTGATAATATTATATTTATCTTGATGAAGCCTGCGCTCTACCAAATTAATTACAACGACAAATAATATTTTATGAATACCTAACATTACATATCCTTTATTGCCCGTTTTATATTTATCTATTTAGGCCTCTTTTTGGGTGCCAAAAAAAAAAATTCAGCTTACAGACTTATTGACTTATTTAAGTCATAACAATTCTCTATTTTTTTCATATTTTTTTTTATGATAAGCCAAAAAACTGAACTTATATACATACCCAAAATAACTGTAAATTGATCCGAATTCCAAAGTAAATAATGACCAGATCAATGGGCCTTTGCACATAGGCGTGAACACTGAAGGAGAAGTATTTTATATTTGAAAGCCCATTGGGCTAAAAATGGAGATAAATATATTTTATATGGGCTGACTCATGTGCATTTATTGGGATAGAATTTTGGATTGGGCTTTATGCAAAATTAATTAATTTATTTATTTATCAGTTCTGCTGGGTAGCTTGAAAATAGGTTGTCCCAAATGGCTCGAATATATCAAAACGATATTATTTTGGCATTTTGTTTTTTCTTTTTTTCTTTTTCTTTCCCCTTATCTTTTCTCTTTGAAACTGGTTTGAGAACCAAACCCTAAAAAACAGAGAGGCAAGAAAAAGAGATAAGAAAAAAAAAAAGAAAGAGGGAACAGAGGAGAAAAAGACAGAAGAAAGAGAAATAGAGAAGGAAAAGGAACCACCACAACACAACCCACCGCCATGGACAAAGATGCTGAAGCTAGATCTTCACCATGATCATTAATGGTCCACCCAGAATGTTGATCCTGAGCACACCACCAAACATGAAGACACCAATAGAGTTGAACAAACTTTGCCAGCAAGTCATGCAGTACAAGCAACCCTTTAGCTCTAACTCAAGAGCCTACCACCCAGTAAACATACTTTCTCAATGAATTACTTCAACATAACAACTCAATGACCAAACAAATTCTCACTTTCTTAAGATTGAACAAGTAATCAAAATAAGAAACCAACATAAACAAAATAAATCACTCTCACACTCAATCTATGGATTCAGTCTAAATCTCACAATTGTTACAGAGAAACTCACCATTGCTCAACCAAGAGGGAGCTTTCTCTCTCTACTTTTGGAGAAGGAGAAAGATAAAGAGGAGAGAGAGAATATGTTATGCTAGCAATCGTGCCATTCGAGCCCTCCCTGAGTTACGAAGCATTTTTCTTTATTTATTTATTTTTTAACTGTGTTAAGAATACAAAAGATTTTGATTTTTTTTTTTAAACAAGAGACTAAAGTGGCATTTATGGGATTTCATTTTTCTTTTTTCTTAGATATGATATTGGCACATTAATATAATATTGCCACGTAATATTATCGTCAATAATTACTTTTATTAACCAATGGTGCTAACTCACATATCATAATTCTTACACCTCATTAGAAGGCTTGTGATTCAACATTTATTTGCGCTTTTGTTGGGAAGTTCATTTGTATTACTTACATATTATATTTGATTTTTATAATGATCATAAAATGAAAAGAATACAATTATTGAATGAACCTTTTTTTATGAATGACATACACGGAATGGTCTACAAAAAGAATGGTTTGAATTATTAAAACAAGACCAATAGTAGGCTCTATGAATCCTAGTATAATGGTTAAATTTAGATTTTGAGCTTGAGAAAAGATCAATTCTTAAAATTAATTGGGTTAATTATTATGGATATCATTAATTAATACTAAGATAGGATCTAAGTGAGACTAAAAAAGAAAACAAAGAGCATGAATAATGTATGGGATAACATTCTAACCAGTCAATCAATCAAGAAGATCATCATCAAGGTTAATTAGAGTTTATGATCTGCTTCTTGTTGTTTTTTGATTTGCTAGGTTGGAGTGGAGTGTTGTCTCCTTGTCAACACACAGTTTTTTACTATGATTTTTGTTTTTTGGATAGTGTTTCAAGCAGCCCATCTTGCTTCCTGGCAGAAACTTTTGTAATTGGTCTTCCTTTTGATTTTATCTATCTTTCTTTGCTGATAAAAAAAAAAAAGAAGTTAATTACTACTTAATCACAATCATCAACCCTACATTTATTAACAGCAGAAGATAGAATTAATTAACATATAGTTTTCAAAAAGGAAATTACTATTATTATTATGCTTGTAATCCAAGAGAGCTTATTACTCAAGACACAAATTCATCCTAGTTGGTAAGAGAGTATACTCCTCTCCTTATTGGTCATGGTTCGAATCCCCTACTACTCAAGTGGAAGTCCGACGGTTTAGATGGATCAGCTAACTTCTCCCAGTTTGGTTTGTAAGAGTAGACCCTAAAGGTCCTGCTTGGGTATTCTGGGTATCAAAAAAAAAAAAAATCATCTATAACCAAAACACAACACATAGGCCTAAAGGTGTAGAGCAGAACAAAGACTACATGTTGGATTAATTTCTAATTGGGACCACATATTTAAATGTGTGTGTTATCATTTATCAAAAGTCTCAAAATTTAAGTGATCTAATTTAGTTAGCAGGTTTAAAGGGTATATTTGTCATGGACCTAGTGTGTAGATGCTATTTGTACAATTTCTATTTTAATGAGGGGCAGAAATAGAAATTGTTTAAGTTAGTTATTGAATGGAAGTTCAACTGCCACGGTTGGTTTTTGTTTGAACTGCCACCAATACAAATGGTTATGGTCCCAATCCTGCCATGCATATAAAAAAAAAAAAAAAAGAGAGGAACAACAGAACTGCTTCAAAATCCTCTCTTGAAAGGAAAGCATTAAAGGCATAGGAAAGGATTGGAAATCATTACCACAGGCAATCTCATCTATCAATCACGCTTCCGTTTAACCATAACGATGGAATCGGGTACGCAATTTTGTCTTCATTTCTTGATAATACACATGATACATGATCCAAAGTTTAAGTCTTTATGTTCTGAACTTATAACACTGCATCCTATCTGCGATCAAAATGAAGCAAAAGTGTCGTAGGGTAGAAATTATGCAACAAGAGCTACCAGTTGATGATTCCTCGGACATTGATTATTACTCAAGATTTATACAAAGATATTCCACCTCTACAAAGATATTCCACCTCTGGCGTTGTGCCTTCGAATTCTGTTTAAAAAATAGGTTCCTAAATAATTGTATCACTGTCGTAGCACATACCAAGATATTGTCCGCTTTATACCACAGGGCACACACGATTTTATTCTTCCTTCACTAGAAAAGGGTATGGCACACTTATAAGGTGGGTCAAGAGTTCTTAGCGAACCTACGTGGGATGGATTCGGATCTCCACATTAGCCCCCTAAGGTCCATGTGGTAGACGTACAAGGTGCGTACGATTTTATTCTTCCTTCATTAGAAATGGCCTTTTGGAGGTTTATGGGGACCGATGTGGGATGGATTCAGACCCCCCATACATTAGCCCCCCAAGTAACCTTCATTAGAAATGGCCTTTTGGAGGTTTATAGGGAATTGATGTGGGACGGATTCGGACCCCCCACATTAGCTCCCAAGTAACGCATCAAGATATTGTATGCTTTGTACCACAGGACACGAACGGTTTTATTCTTCTTTCACTAGAAAAGGCATCTTAGAGGTTTGTAGGTATCGCACACTTGTAAGGTGGGTCAAGAGTTCTTAGCAAACTGATGTGGGACGGATTTGGACCCCCCAATCTTTATGTTATGTTCAATTCATTGAAATTAAATGAAATTGCATTATCACTCAATTATAATATATATTTTCACATTTAGGCCAAGTTTGGCATCTTCCAAAAAATTCAAAAAGTCAAAAAATCACTATCCTATTTAAGTCACATCATCTCATTTAAGTCACATCACCTCTCTAACACATCACTTCAAACCCAACCCAAATCCAACCCATATTTCATAAAAAGTCAAAAAGTGCACTTATTTAGTCTTCCCAAACTTGGCCTTAATTCATAAAAAATCAATAAAAAATATTTTACAAATAAAATCGTCATTCACTAGTGTGAGATAGAGAGGCTAATGGATGACCATTCCATTCATATTCATTCCGATGAACC